GCTTCTTTTTCTTTCTGTATGATTACTGAGAATTTGTAAAGAAAGTAGAAAAGCTTAAAAATTCCTAACTGCTTATCGAAAAGTCTAAAAATTTAAGTGCAAATTATAAACAGAAATTTTTTTTTTTTTTTTTTAGTTATCGATTTATAAAACGTTTTCTTATCAGCAATAATCTTATTTCTGTAGCTGAAAAAGAAGCATAAATTTTAAGTTTTACTGGAATTAGTGTTGGTCATTGTGGCAAAACCAAGAAGCGAAGAAAGTAATTAAGAAAAAAAAAGAAGTAAAGTAAAAATTTATTGTAAAATTTGATTTCAATTTTTCTATCTTCTAATTAATATTTTTACTAATATTATTCTTATTACTTCTAATTTTCTGAATACTCAACTGATTTATTCCTGAAATTTTGCAGCTAATTAGAAGAGTGATCGTTTTATCACTACATAAAGTAGTTACAACAAAAAAAACATCATATACTTTTTGTTAGTTTGAATAAGACATACTGACTAAAAATATTTTTAACCTGAAACATACAGCTGCACTGTAATTATCATCAACAAAGTAACTGTAATTAGCATAAGCTTTTGAAAGAATCTGTAGCAGCGATCAATTAGTGGTTGGATATCTGACTGTATTCCACCGGAAGAAAGGACTGTATAGTAAAAAATGTCATCTAAACGCGAATCAGTACGGTTGGGATTAGCGGTTATCGGACTAGTTTTAGGTCTTGCAATTCTGGGTGTTGGAATTGCTATACTTGTCAAAGTTTACAAGAATGATGGTAATTTTACTCGAATATTCCATTCTAATTTTTTTATAACATTAAAAAAATTTGGCTTTTTGTCTTCATTTCATAACTATACAGCATTTAATAACTGTTTAGACCTTTAAAGTTGTTTCAAGTAAATTTTTTTTGCTTCTGTAAAGTTGCAGCAAAAAAAATTTTGGAACTAAACTTGAACCAAAAAGTAACTAAAAAATCTTAAAAACATTTAAATACTGCAAAAGTATCTTAACTGTGAACCTATCTTAAAAAATTGTAATTTAAGTATATGTTTTTTTTTTTTGGCTATATAACTGTTAACTGTAATCAGCAAACACTTTTAAGTTAGAATATTTACTAACGTTATTTGTAGATTAAAAAAGTGAAATTATTCTAATGTTTTTTAGACGAAACTACGGCAATAATTGTTACACCCTCTGTAAATCCTAACAATCCGTCGGTCATCAGTCCATCTGATCCGAAATATCAAGGATTCCAAAGTGCTGCGCAAAGATTAAAGGCGGTGATGAAGTTGAATGTCAACCCTTGTGAAGATTTCTACACGTTTACGTGTGGTAACTACGATGGTCATTTGGGATTTGATACGCTTCAGCAGTTAGACTACAGCATCATGAAAACCAGACTGGATCAAATAAAGTCTACATCATCAAGCGTTAGTAAATGAAAACTGTTTATTGAACTTGGTTCAAAATTAATACCGGGCAAAAATCTTTTTTTTTACGTCTTCTTATCAAGAAGCTAAAAGAACAAATCAATTTCAAAAAAAGCTGTTTTACATATTGCAGTTCCGCAATATAATTTTCTACCTCTACTCTATCTCTCTAACAATCGTTGAAATTGCGTACATGAGTGCTTTCCATGAAAAAAAAAAAAAAAGAAAAAAGTTTATTGTACTGTCTTTTTTTGCAGCTGATAAAGCCGCTAGCTCAAATGGTGAAGTACTATCAGAAATGTCTAGACACCGACCCATCGTCTAACCGAAATAATGCAACCTATGTAAAACAATTAATCAGCGACTTTCTGAAGGTCACCGGAATACCGTTTCCGTCAGTCGACGGAAAAAGCTTGAATGCAATTAGTAAGGAACAGTTCGGTAAAGCAGTTGGTTATCTTTGGGGAAGAATGAACATTCCAACCTTTTTATCACCATGGGTAGACACAAACTGGATAGTGCCGAGACGTGGTTATGTTCTTTTGCTTGACCAGCCAACTTTGATTTACGGGAAGAACTACTACTTGAGAGCATGGAATCAGACCGAGGAGGAATACAGAAAAAAGATTACCCATGTTTTGAAAGTGCTAAATCCTGGCGTATCTAATGATGTTTTGACCAAGGACATTAATTCAATTATTCAGCTGGAAGATACAATTGCTCGCAACTTTTTGAACGCTGAAGCACTGAGACGTCTTTATGCAAGGCAATTCAACATGTATACAACAAGTGTCGCAAGCTCTGAATTTGAGTTTATTGACTTTCCAAGTTTGCTAGCAGAATTATCACACTACGGTGACAGTAATGTCAAAGACAGTTTTGCTTCTTCTAGTTTTAAATTTATTATCCAAGAGCCTGAAATGTTGAAGAATATGGGGAAGCAAATTATGGCTAGAACATCACCATTTGACCCGAGAACGATTGCGAATTATTTCAATATACGACTTGTCCTAGACAATTACAAATACATACAAGATGTAATCAGGCAATTTAAAAAAAATTGCTTAATTAGCTTTCAAAAAACGATAATAATTTTAAAAATCACTTTTTTAAACCATTTGTTCTTCTTCTTCACTTGTACACCTCAATGTTATAGTCATCGGAAGGAGTTCGCTGGGATTATACCATCAAATTTCCAAAGTTTGGGCAGCGAAAAGAATATTGGCGCCGTCCGCCATCGTTGAAACCAGTCACCGATGAAAGAGCGTATGATTGTATAGATGCAACTATGAACAATCTACAGTATTCAAATGCACGAATTTTCTTGGAAGCTGCTTATCCAAAACAGAACGATCGAGTATGGATGAAGTCTAATAATATATTTAAGCTAATCACATCACCTTAGATTTGTTTGACATTGAACACTAAAAAGAAAATGTGTTTATAAATATTTCTCTAAAAGTCATTCGATTTGTTCGGCTTAGCTTGAAGAACTGTTTAAAAACTTACGCTTGGCTAGATACAGCTTGTTCTATGTAACGCATTTTCAGGATCTTTTGAGAAGCAAAATAGCTGAACTGACAGAGACCATAATGGTATCGTTTAGAGGGATGTTAGATCAGTTGAGGTGGATGGACGATTCGACCAAGTCAGGAGCGTACGATAAAATAGATTACCTTGTTAGGTTAGTGTAATAATTGTTTTTTCAAAGCTTAATTTAGCATGGTTCAGCAGTACAGGCTTTCAAATGTCTCGCGCAACGCAGCCGTTTGAAAAGAACGTAAGGATAAACGAGCCAATTAGTAATCTACTTTACGATTTCAGTAAAAGCTATTTTTCCAGGAATATGGCTTATCCAGACTTTATAGTCAACGACACACTTTTAACACAGTATTATCAAGAAATGGAACTATTTGAAGACACTGACACTCTTAAAAATATAGAGGATAAAATATTCAGATGGTCTATGTGGAAAACTCTTTCAAGGTTAAATCGACCTCAGTATCAGCGTGATCATTTTGACTTGCCACCAGGTCTCGTTAATGCGTGGTACTTAGTAAGCCATTTTTTTCGCCTTCTTTGGAAATTTTGTATGATACTTCAGTAGACAAGTAAAATCTGGATTTGTTTTTCCATACTGTGATAAGCGTATGACTGGCTAAACTACGCAAGGAGGTCCAAGAGTCTGCAACTGCGTTTTTGTTACAGTTCGATTTTTACAGCCTCAGCTTAACTCACTTACTCTGCCATTGGGAATCCTAAATGAACCGTTTTACAACATGAATTGGCCAAGCTCTTTGAATTATGGATCACTCGGTGTTATCGCTGGTCATGAACTCACTCATGGTTTTGATGATGAAGGTGTTCAGTGGGATGGGGTTGGATCGCTGAATCAGTGGATGGAAAACAGTTCCTATAGTGAATTTCAAGTCTGTGCTTAAGATTTCACTCCAGTTCATATTGAGCAAAAATTGATTAGTTACTGCAGTTAAAATGAAGGTTTAAGGCGATGGCAAAGTGTGTGATTGATGAATATCATGGGTTCTGTCCTCCTAAAATGCCATGTTTGGATGGAGAGCTTACTCAGGGAGAAAATATTGCAGACAATGGAGGTTGAAATCTTATTTATTTTAATTTATCTTATTATGCTTTTTCCAAGGTTATCAAAGATGAAAAGCAAAAATATGCAAATCAGGATTTAACTGTCTTGTTAAATAGGTATTCACGCAGCGTACCGGGCGTACAAAAACTACGCTAATTTGTATGGAGAGGAACCACTATTAGATGATCAGGCACTGTCGCAATTTAGTCATGATCAACTGTTTTTCATCGGTTTTGCTCAAGTTTGGTGTGAAAGTAACAGAACAATGTACGGAACCCTGGAACACGATCTTACCAATCCACATAGTCCATCAATATTTCGTGTTCTTGGAACTGTCCAAAATTTCCCAGCATTTAAAAATGCCTTTAACTGCCCGTTGGGTGCAAAGTATGCTCCAGAGAAGCACTGCAATGTTTGGGTGTCGAATGTAACTGACGGTAGTGATATACTTGTAAAATTTTTTCCAAACACAGTCAGTAACATCTGTATCGCATTTTTAGCAAGTTGTCAAACAAAAGAGCTTGACTGTAAACTAATTTTTGCTTTAAAACAGATTACGGGATTCCACCTAGTCGACCTTCGAAGAAGGTGTTAAACGTACCAAATCCAGTTCAAATTCAACCGGATCATCAAAGCTATAAAGCATACGCTAAAGCTGTAACGTATCTACAAGATTCAATGGACTTGACAAAAGACCCGTGCAATAACTTTTACGAGTATGCGTGCGGAAACTACAAATTAGAAAAAAGTTTTGCCGTTATGAGAAAAAATAATTATCGTATTATGGCCGAACAGATGGAGAAGAGCATTTACGATGAACCTCATGTACGCTTTAACTAACTTTTATTTGCTAAGAACGTTCCATTTTTGCTTTTAATAACATCTTAATTTCCCTTTCAGTTATTACTGAAACAAACGATTCATGTGCCTTTTACAGTTCATTTTTTACAGACCCCAAAAGCGTTAGTCAAAACCAGACGGTTTTATAACAAGTGTAAAACAACTCGACAAGACTACAAAAATCAAATAGCGAATGGTACCGCAATAAAAAAAATTATGGACAACTTTTCAATAGCCACTGGGCTGCAGTTTTCAATGATAACTGCACAAGGCGAAGATGTAGTTTTTGATCTTACACCAACTAAAATTGGCCAAGCGCTTGGATATCTTAGTCGGAGGGGCGTAAACACGTTGTTAACACCGATGGTTGATACGGACTGGCCCAATCCAAAAAATTATAAGTTCTTTTTGGATCAAAACACTCTTTACTATTCGAAGTCATACTATAAAGAAGAGGCATGGAACACCATAAAAGATTCGTACAAAACAAGTGTTATCGATTTGTTCAACAGCTATTCGAGACTATTATCAAAGGTATCAAAATTTCTCATTTTCTACGTTGCCTATTTCCCCTTTCCCGTTTACCATTTTCACGGCTCACAACGTTATTTTTATATATTTATCATGGAATAGTGACACCTGTTGTGATTAGTTGCAAGAAAACAATTTCCCCTTTTCTTTTTAATGTAATATACATTTAGTCATCTCTTATGCTACAATGCCTCCATCCCGTAGGGTAAATGTCTTATTTGGAGACAGCAAAAAAAAGGAAATTTAAACTTGAAAAAGCTCATTTGCACTGGGACTAAAAAAAAAATTTATTGTTTTATTCAGACCTCGAAAAGATCTAAATTTTCAAGAAATTTACGGGTAGTCTCGCTTGCTTCTTTTCAGAAAAATTTAAATCAAACCATCTTGGAACATGATGTTGAAAAACTATTGAATTTTGAAAAAAAGCTTGCATCAGCGACATACAGTACTGATGATACCACTAGAAGAACCTATAAACGATCGCTAAATAATTACACTGAGGGGTCGTCTGACAAGTATAAATTTGTTAACATAACAGCATACTTTGAAGCCCTGTCGAAAGGCTATTCGGAGTTGACCGTCTACTTCTCTGAACATATGTTTGACTTCTATGTAATGGAACCGGATAAAATTGCTAAACTAAGTGGAGATTTTGACAATATGGACAAGTCAACAGTGGCAAATTATTTGAACTATAGACTTTTAATCGCATTCAGCGACTACCTACCCGAATATCGAGCCAACAATATTGTGTTTAAAGAAGATAACTTAGGCCGACGACGTCGCGGCAGAATCTTTGCCCGTAACTTTGATCTTGTTGACGCTTTCTACAATGAAGTTCCGCTTCAGTGTGCTTATGAAACACTGAATTTGATGCAGTATGCAAATGCTCGATTTTACATCGATTACCTATATCCAACAGAGGCTGACCGAGGAAGAATAAGAAAGTAGAAATTACGTTTTTTTGTAACTTTAAAAAAATAATTAAGTTTTGTAAAAAATGTGTAATTAGAGAGCTTAGTGATGGTTTGCTCTGTTTGTAGATCTCTGCAAAAAAACACAATCTTTGGTTTTCAATTTTGAATTCCTTTCAGCGGAACTGACGTGTTAGTCAGTAGTATACTAAATGCATTTAATGGAATGCTTCTACAGTTGCCATGGATTGACAAAGAGAAAACGCTTCCCGAAGCTGAAAGAAAAATTAGTGATCTGCAGAAAAATTATGCATTCCCAGACTTTATCGTCAATGATACTAGACTAGATGCGTATTACGAAAAGATGGCATTACTCGATACTGACAGTTACTTCGATATGCGTGAAAAATTAGACGATTTCAACTTTCAGCTATTATACAAGACATTACCTGGAAATGATCCTGTTGATCGTAAAGACTTTTTGGGTCCACCGGGAACAGTGAATGCGTGGTATCAAGTATGAATGGCTTAAATTTTTTACTTCTCATTCACTGCCAAATTTAGATGCACCGGATGTCTTTAGCTTTCGTTATCAATACACTATAAATTACATATTGACTTTTAAAAGTTTCAGGTAGAAAATTAAATCGTTAATGTGAAGTTAAATTTAGCCGGAGCTGAATTCCATTACTTTCCCAGCTGGGATATTAATGACACCGTTCTTTGACCTCAACTGGCCCGCATCTTTAAATTACGGTGGAATTGGCGTAGTTATTGGACATGAATTAAGTCACGGTTTTGACGACGAAGGTGTTCAATGGAACGGTGACGGAACATTAGTAGACTGGATGTCACCTGACGCGCATTACAAATTTAACCTGATGGCAAAATGTGTACAAGATGAATATAGCGGATTTTGCCCTCTAAAAAACACCACCTATAATCCCCAGTGTGTCAATGGAGATAATACACAGGGTGAAAACATTGCCGATAATGCAGGTTTCTATCATATCTCTGTTTGAAATCACACAAAGGCTTACTTTTTGCAAGATTACAATTTTGTTTACCCGTTAATTTTTTAAAGACTTTTAACTGGGAAGTTTTTTGCACATAAGTCTGTTTTAAATACCTGGTAACCTTTACGAGTTACACTACATAGAAAACCATGACATACGAACTTAATCCTTTTAACTATTTAGGGATCCATGCCGCTTGGAACAGCTATAAAGACTACATTGCACTCCGTGGGCCTGACCCTCAGCTTCCAGATAATACACTGGGACAGCTAACGCACGACCAACTCTTCTTCCTAAGTTTTGCTCAAGTTTGGTGTCAACGACCATCATCCACCGAAGCGCTGTATACTCAACTTATGACAGACCCCCACAGTCCATCAAATTTACGCGTGCTCGGAACCATTCAAAATTTCCCAGCATTCCGTACTGCATTTCAGTGCCCCCGTGGGTCAGTGTACTCGCCAGAAAAACACTGCTCTGTCTGGGTTCCAGAAATTGTCAGTTAGCTAAATGTTTCCCTTCAGTTCTCTTCCTAGCAGATCCTTCGTTAGTCCTTCTAGTCCTCGAATTTTCTCGAACAAAATGTGTACTTACAGCTAAAAATCAAATTAATCATAAGATGGCGCAATACTGGATACTTTTGCCGCAACTCTCACCGTGCTCCCAGACATTCCATTTACATTTATTTCTCCCATCAAAAATTTTTTTTTATTATTCTTTTTAAACTCATTATTATAATTATTATTGATATTGTCATTTCGCACTCTTATCCTTTTTTGTAGTAATTTCAAAATAACCGTTGACAAAACAAACAAAAATTCCAATTTTCCGACTTTCGTGCAGTGCACTAATTAAAAGTTTGTTTAAGTTCTTAGCAGCATACTGCAAATTAATTTATTTTACCTGAGAACAATGAAACTGCTCATGTAACTCTTCATTATCTGCACGAAATGTTTCGAGAAAATCAGTTACCAAATAATCAGTATCAGCTGTGCAGTATCAAATTTCTGCTGGTTTAATCTGGTTCTTCTAACATTTCTCGGCGCCGTTGTCTAAAACCCTCCTATTATGTGGTGTTACTGCGCTTGTACGTTCTTCTTATTTCACCAATTACTGTAAAGCCCATTTTTTGGTAATAAAATCTAGAATTATTAGAAATCTGAGACAGTAGATGCCCCAAATAAACCTCCCAGACTTCCCTATTTGTATAGATAAAACAAGTGACAGGACCAAACGTAGGCTACCGGAAATCTCCTGATTGAATTATAGACCTCTTCAGAAAAGTTTACTCAAGAAATTTTCAACGCGTATTACGATGAAAGACTGCTTTCACCAGTAATCTTGACTACTGGTTTGGGTGCCTTATTAAACAGTCTACTGAAATGCAGCGCTCACTACCAGCAAAATTAAAAAGAATATGGTTTTAAAGTAATCTACTACTTTTCCTGCATCCAAAACGAAGGTTTAAATTTTGTCACCAGTATTAGCACCAGTTCTTGAATAGTTAACTTGTAAACTCAACAGTCTTAATCCATAAACAGCAAAAGCAACAGTGAACACCTTCTTAAAACTCCGCTCATACACACTCATCTAACTTCTAGTTACAGCTGCCCTACGCAAAAACGATATCCCGCCGTCCTTCCCCACAACTGTCATCAGTAAGTCAATAACTCCATGACTTATTTGCTAGACTTCTAAAACAGTTCCCTCAACCAGCTAAAAATTTGCCTCTTTTAAATGATAAAAGATCAAATTTCAAAATTTAGAACCACCTTGCACAACAAAGTTATAATCGACTCCACTCAACCAGCTCAGATTGCCGCTAATTTACCAGCACAAAGAGCAGCCAAGTTAATTAATTTTTGAGCCTCACGTTCACTTACTGGTGCTTATTACAGCATTTTCGGTTCGCACTTTTGTCCCGTTTTTCCGTTGCAAAACCTAAACCTCCATCTTGTTGTGCCAATCCTCTGCACAAATCCGTTATGGTGAATTCACTCGTAAAATGTCTTCGAAAAGTAGAAAAATCAGTGCCCAACAACTGTTCCAACGCTAAGGTTCATTAAAAATAGATAATAAATTGAAAATAAATTTGGACCGACAGATTCAATAGTAACCGATAAATCTGTACTCAAATAAATCTATCAACCTCTTGCATTCCTCTGCTTAGTTTAACCAAGCACCCTGTACAGTAATCCTAACAAAGCCCGAAAACGCTTAGGCTCCTCGTAAATCTAAATGCCGAGTCACTAAAGGAGACTAAAGCTGCCTAAGCGCCTAGAAAACAGCACATCCCCCTTGCTTACTCTTCACGTACAGGCATTTATGAGTGTTGACAAGAATTATGAAAAAGCCTCTCAAATTAAGTAAGGCTGAGCATTTAAATAATAAACAAGTTTTCTTGACCCATAGCTCTAATTCTGCAAATACGATCAGTAACAAAAATTAACAAAAATGGCAAATTATTCACGGCCATAGATACGTTACAAAATACGGAAGTAGCATTTAGAAAGACGCAAAGAAATGACTGAAGAAAAATAAAATCCAACAAAACGAAAAATAAATAAAAAATTAGCACCAGTTTCTGATAAAAAGCATCGTCACAGTTTAAAAACCGAAACTAAAAATGAAAAATAATTAACGTCATAATTTCTCAGTGTTTAGCGCCAAAGGCAACCATACATAACAGAAGAAAAACAAAAAAATAAAATAAACTTTTCAAAAAAAAATATTAAAAGTGGCTCAGCAAAAACCCTAATAAGCTATATTAACTAAACTTTATAACAAAACAACAGGCTTTTTCAAAGAGTTCACGTTCTTCAACAGTAAGTGATGAAAGTGTAGCAATGTGGCCGCCGCCAATCATACCAAATTCCATACAGAGTTTAGCCTAAAACAAGTCCATTACTTAACAAGATTCTAATGTGAATATTTTTCAGATTAATTATTTAAAATGAAAATACCTTTGCTGATTCGCATATATGAGCAATAGATGAGTTTTCTTTCAAATTTACAACCATCGTCCCAACAGCTAATAATGTTACTGGTACCTTGAACTCACCGAACGCTGTTATAAAAGTACCTTGCTGAGTACCATAGCCTGTGACACTTTGAGTTTCTGTATAAACAGTGAATAGTTGCTCTTCATGCGGTTCTACAGCGACCTGCAAAGCAGAAAGTGGTATAGATCGCTCCAATAAAATCGCTCTTTAAACGGCGAAATATCGAACGCAAATCACTTGACCAAAAGTTTTAAGTATGTAACGCTTAACAAATTTTCCAGCTTATTCCAATAATTTAAAATCCTGTTAAACCTAACAAAGATCTAAACAATCTAGAAAAAAACCATATAACCTGTATTCCTTCATTTCGAGCAATCAACTCTACGTTAATCAAATTAACATTTGAAATTCCTTTCGCATGCAAAATACCAATCGCCGCCGCTGCACTTAGTGTTTTTTCCAGTCCAACAACGTCTGCACAATATAAAGATTAATGTCTTCATCGTACATTTAGCTTATTCAAAAGATACAAGTTGCTAAGCTAACCTGATAAAAGTCCGTCAGCTGGATATTTTACAGTCATTTTGCTGCTTTCAGTTGACACTGTTGAGGCAACACGAGCCAAAACGCTGATAGCACGAACCCAAACCGCCACTGTTTTGCTGGACACAGCATTTAACATAGGAGCATTCAGCTTAAAGAACAATAAATTTCAATACAGATTCATCCATTCATTAAAAAATTTGTCTTAAACTTTGGCATATATTAGTTACAAAAATAAAAAATTGAAAAAAAAAAAAACAAATAGAAGCTTTAAAGAGAAAAATTAAAAAATATTCTTACAACTCCTGGAAAGCCAAGCCCATTGTTAATTGCAATAATGTTTTCTGCAACCTCCCTACCAACTTGACGTTGAGCCTCGACAGTGCTTGCACCCAAATGGGGCGTGCAAATTACCTTGGGATGTTCGACAATTTCTCTGTACGTTGGGGGCTCCTTAAATACAGTTACAGTCAAAATTTTATTTTAAGAAGTCCCGAGTGTAATTATGCTTACTGTTCTTGGTAATACTTTTCAAAAACAAATAGTTATGCACATCAAAAGATAAACTCAAAAATGCAACAAACTTGCACGAAGACGTCAATAGCTGCTCCACTGACGAGCCCGTCGTTCAGGGCATCCACCAATTCCTGCTCATTGACAATACCTCCTCTAGCCACGTTAATCACTTTCACACCCTTTTTACACATTTTCAACGTCTTCATTGATATTAGATCTTTGGTCTGTGGTATTAATGGCACATGCAGGGTAATATAATCAGCAACTGGCCATATTTTTTCTAGAGGAAGCCACTGTACACCGCCTTTTGCAGCAGCCTAAAACAAAAGCGATAAAGTAAAGAAGTATGAATAAAATTCAGATCAATAAATAAAGTTGAACATCATTGATAAACCTCAGTATCAACAACGGGATCATAACCAACAACTCTCATCCCAAAAGCCTGCATCCTGGAAGCAACTCCCATTCCAATTCGTCCAAGTCCGATAACAGCAAGCGTCTTCCCAAAAACCTACAAGTGATAAGCAACGAGCTAAAGCAGAACACAATTTTTTTTAACACTGTAAACTACTACCACAAAAAAAGTAAAGAAAACAGTTTGTCCTGACCTTTCAAGAACCAAAAAACTGCAGTTAACTATAATATCCCCTAAAATTTCTAATCTTTGAAAAAAATGAAAATATTAATGATTGGTACCAAATAAAGCTCAAAAATATTGTTAGGTAAATAGGCGAAAGAGTGTAAAATTTTTTTTAAGACTCACTTCCTCACTCATAAATTCCCTTCTGCTCCATTTGCCTTTTTTCATCGAAGCATCCGCTGAAGCTATCTTTCTTGCCAACGACAAAATCAAGCAGCATGTTAATTCCGTAGCACTTCTCGAGTTCCCAGCTACAAAGCAGTTAAGCTCTAGTACACAAATGAAACGAAAAAAATTGCCTGCCTTCTTAAAATTTGAGTGACAAACTAAGCCACAGATGTTAGTCTGAATCGTCAACAATAAAACTCATTTTTCATTGCAGTACATTAGAACTGTGACATCCACAGTCTTAGCAATCCCTTCAATCCAAACTTTCATCGCTTCTTCATTGGTTGAGCACAGTTCAAAAGACTTCAAAAAAAAAAAAAAAAAAA